AAAACCTTCACTCAGCAAGTGGAGCCCGTCCCCTGTGATAAAAGGTCACGAGAAATGAGGAATGAGGAGGAGAAGGATCTGAAAAAGATATAAAGGAGTAACCAAAAAATAGCAAAAATTTACCAAACCAAAGATAAATTTCTCTATGAGGAATGAAAAGACGAATTCTTTCAAAAAAAAAAAAAAAAAAAAAAGATACTTTTCTACACTGACAACCAAGGAAAAGAAAAGGACGAAAGAAATGGAGACTTCACGCTAAGTCAAAAAGTAGGTAGGCTGCCGTAGGCCCCTTTTTTTTTTTTTTTTTTTTTTTTAGGCACCTATTTTTGTAGATAAACAGTAACAAAAAAATGCAGAAAGTGGTCAGAGATGATGCAGAAAAGGCCCAAACGTGATGTCTCCAGTACATCCATCTAATTTAATCAGCGCGTGACATGCTGCCCAATGCCGGGGCTAGGTCCCACTTGCACCAATTACGAGATACTGACCGTAGATCGCAAAGATCAACGGCCGAAATCTCCTCATTTGCGCAAGTGGGACCTTGCCCCCATTTGAACTGTGAACCATTTGACACCAGCTGTGATGCTAGCTGCCATATGGATTCGCTGTCTCCAATCTATATATATTATATAATATATATGATTTGACGCAGGGTTCGTTTGATTATGTGCATGACCTGGTGAGCCGAAGGGCTGTCTCCAGAACGTACCACGTCATTTCTCTGTCTCCACAAATGAAATAGAACGGTTGCTCGCAGCGACTCGTATATACATAGGCTCTGAATTTTGACAGAGATTGCAAAATAGTACCCACTGCCCAGTAATATCGTATCGCCATTTCACTATGTACTTGTATTCGGACATGGACCGGAGGGAAAAAAAAAAACAAAGGAAAAGGAGGGAGCCACACTTTTCGTTGGGCCCGGCCTAGGTCCCCGGCCCTTTTCCCAACACTGGCGCATCCGGGCCTCGCGTAGGAGTGTTAAGGAAGATGCTGATAAAGGTGAGACAAAGCCAAAAAAGATGTGATTTTTTTTGTCATAAGGCTCCCTGCCGAGTTTTCCTTGCCTCTCTCTCTCTCTCTCTCTCTCTCTCTCTCTCTCTCTCTCTCTCTCTCTCTCTCTCTCTCTCTCTCTCTCTCTCTCTCTCTCTCTCTCTCTCTTGCACGCACTTGCTCGCTTCCCCTTGTCATGGCAAAGGCTCCCCTGAGATGGTGGCTTGGATTGCTCCCTTTTCCAGAAGGATGCATCACCGCTGGCTGAGATTTTCTTACTTTATTTTTTTACTTAAAGTTGACTTCACTTAGAGGTTGAGATTTTTTTACTTAAAGCTAAGGACTACCCTACTATTTCTAATAGCACGTAATGCAGTTTCTCTTCCTGGCCCTGGTCCACTCATCATCACTYCAGCTTGTTTGGTATTTTGATCTGTCCATTGTTTGATTGCATTTTCAGTAGCAATTTGAGYAGCATAAGCAGTGCTTTTTTTTGCTCCTTTAAACCCACAGGCTCCCGAAGAAGACCATGAAATTACTTGCCCTCGTAAGTCTGTTATAGTTACAATAGTGTTATTGAACCATTGATGTCTGAATTGCGCATGTCCGCTCTGTTCTTCAGCCTCACAGGGAAATATATGCTCGTTCTTTCTGGATTTTTCTTTCTCTTGTCATCTTGAAGAGACTGGTCTGTGCAGTCCACACTTTGGTGCACATCAGGAGTTAGTTAACTCTTGATGTGCACAGGAGTTAGTTAAGAAGTTTAACTCATGATGTGCACGGGAGTTAGTTAAGAAGATTAACTCCTGATGTGCGCAGGAGTAAGTTAAGCAGTTTAATTCCTGATGTGCACAGGAGTTTGTTAAGAAGTTTAACTCCTGATGTGCACAGGAGTTAGTCAAGAAGCGCCTTGTAAGTTGCGAGCGCGGGGGGACTGATTGTGCAGGTGTTTCTTTTTGCGTCTGTGTGACACTCGAATAGGCCATCAAAGTGGAACAAGCAACGCGTCAGCTTGGTGCAATCAGTGTGAGTTCCGTTTTTTTTTTTTTTTTTTTTTTTTTTTTTTTTTTTTACAGTGTGAGTTCCCCTCCCAACACCTCTCTTTTTTTCTCTATGTATTTAAATTTAAATTTTCACGTGACTTTCGAGGCTTCTGCTTTGATATGGACCAGAGAAGTTGAGAAAACGTAATATCATCATCACTGAAGGATCCCGATTCCCTAGCAAGTTAGAAATCAATTTTTTCAGCGTTTCTAAAAAAATATTTGTAGGGCATCTGTTTAAAAAATTAGAACAAATACAGAGAAAATTAGGGCTCATGCATGACCCCTGTGGCCCAAAAAAAAAAAAAAAAAAAAACATTGTCAAAATTGGTTATCTAAAAAAAAAAAAAAAAAAAAAAAAGGCTATCTCCAAATCTTGTAGTATCTTCTTTTTCTGGGTCTGCAAGTAGTCAAATATAAAGGCCCCTTAGGGCCCAAATATGCCACGTAGTACATTGCTCACAGCTGTATGCGTAGTAGCGCACACCTTGGAGAATATAAACACCCACCGAAAGAACTCCAGTTTCAAATTCAAATGGGAAGGACGTGAAACAGGTCCGCCATGGATTGTGTCAAATATCTCCATGGGCCTCGCTCCACTACACAACACTCTCCATGTGTTTGGATTATTTTTGGACTCGTCCAAATGCACGTGGTCCAGAAAGCGCCCAAATGCATGTAGAGTGTTGTGTAGTGAAACGAGTCCCCATATCTATGCTCCAATGTCCATCCTGTGCATGTTCACCAGTTAACCTCCACTTGGTAGGAGAGAGAGGGGGGGGGAGAGTTACAGGTGGGGATGTGTGCAGATGGGTAAGGCTGGGGCAGAGGGGAGAGAGAGAGAGAGAGAGAGAGGACATTCATTTGTCAAGTCCCAAGGGATGAATATGACATTTCTCTGGAATTTTTAATGCATAATATCATTCAGGCCTTCGTTAACCTCAACTTCGTTAGTAAATCCAAGGGTCCCTCGTTCTTGAGGCTGAGGCTGCCGGTTCGAGGCCGTGCGTCCACTGCGGGGCTTGATGCCGTAAACTCATTTTGCTCAGTAACGACTGTGAAGGCGCGTGTGGAACCCGTGGGCAAGTTTGGCCCGCCTTGGGGTGACCAGGTTAAGCAGCAGTGGCGGGGCTGCGTTTTGTCCGAGCGGAGTGTGTTGATTGCCGTGTCCGTTGTGTGCTATTGTGTGTGTGGTGTGTGTTCAAGCACGCTACAGCCCTGCGGATTGGTGGGCGGCTAGATATCACGACCGGTATGGATCCAGCTTTTGCAACACCTCCAAGGGGTTGTAACCGTTACGAGACTTCCTTCTCGAGGCAGAGGGTGCCAGTTCAGGGCCGTGCATGCACGGCGGGGCCCGATGCCCTAAACGCACGTTGGTCAGCAACTACTTCTCCCTATCTGTGTACGAAAGACCTGCCTGCCGAAAGTAATTTCAAGTTATTTTGAGCTGTTTTGAAATGTTCACGTTCGCAATAATCTTCTTCTTTGCTTACACTGTTGTACTTTTCTGTCTGGTGGTCCTCATGTTTTTGGATGTTTCCCCTCTTGGGCAGGCACCAAGGCAGATGAAATATGCACTTCTCAGCTGGATTTTCAGTTTGCCCGTGTCTTGAGAATGAGGTGACCCATGGCATGGCATGGCCTGCAAAGTGGGCCGTAGGTTACCACGAAGGTGACCTCTGGGTCGTGTCATCTATCCGTGGGGTGCCCAGGGTTGGAACCCAAGTTATTGTGCTGGTGACTTTTTTAACCCCCGCTGACTGATGCAGCGGGTTAAAAAAGGTACTATAGCGTGAGTTTACCAATGTGCCTGCCCCATGCGCCTAATTACCTATGGAACCACCCCTGGGCTGGGTTACCTGCTAACGGGGGTAACAATCAGACAGTCACCGACGGGGTGACGCAGATCAGCGAGTTACCATGTGGGTCAACGAGATCGGTCAGTTACTGTGGGTCACCGTGATGCAGTTACCGTGGGTCACCATGTGGGTCAAC